ACCATCAGAGCAAAAACATGTATCAGTCAAACTAGTCACTTAGTTTTTACATACAATAAAAATTACACAAAGTTAGAAAGGCAACACGCATTTGTCCATTTTTAATCAGTCGGCTCAGTGCGACAGCACACACGGGCTACATTAATACAAATCAACATTTACTATACTTTTTAATAACTTAGCGCGTTCGCTATCAGCGTCACAAAATATGAATTATTTAAAAATATTTCTGTATTAGGAGAAAATTGAACTGTTGAAATGTGAAGACAGTCATTTTCTATTAATTCTGTAACAATTTTGTTGGGCCACCATTTTTGTTTGCCAACATTTGTGCCGTTTTTTTTTTTTTTTTAAGAATTAATTTGCATCGATGGTCACTCATTTCACTCTTTTTCACATATTTCAAGGGAACTTTCTAACTTTAACAATGCTCATGGTACAACTAAAAACAAACTGACAAGAAGATTGTAACTTGTAGGAAGGAACGCAAGATGTAAGTGACTATGAATCGCTCAGTTGTTTTACGGTCGTCTGTGAACCTTGTCAACTGTTTTAAAATTTCTTTGAACTAACCGACAAACGGTGACGAACAATAGACAGGTTTCAAAGAAACAGTTTTCGCAGTAAGTTGCAATAACAAAGGTGCCTGATACTTTTGTCCAAGGCGGCATGTGTGGCGCGCCAATTCTCATGATAGATCACTGTTATCTACACGAAACACATCATACAAGATGCACAATTTGCCTATTTAATACGAATTACGTATGCGTAAGTGCAGGAATAATTGCATTATGTGAACCTGATAAAAATGTAGACATTAAGGATGAAAGCAAAAATAATGCGAGGGATAGTGGGAGATGCTTCAATAGCGAACGTGTTAACGAGTCTTCGTGTTAATAATAATTTGCAACACGTTGCGGACGGATCGCGAGAATTCTCGTGTTTCTTATTCTAACGCCTGGGAATTCTCGTGTTTTTATTGTTGTTATTTAGTGAGAAGCAATTTAACAGTAAATTCATTCGCTACGGTTACAAATTGCAAAAAAGAAACTTAGAAAGTTTAGTCAGTTAAATCACTAATTAGTGAGAACAGCTTGATTTTAGTCGTTTTTAGTGAAAACGTTAGACGCCTGAAATTATATTCCTTAACGTTTTTATATCCCTGTTCAATTCACCTTACAATTTCAATCTTACGTCGTAACGGTGTAATGCTATTTTAATGTACAAGCACTACTCCTGGCAAATAAGTTTCGAACCAAACGCAAAGATACGAAACGAAAGTATTCACAATTCAAGGGTTGTAAAGGGCCTCCACGAAAATGGATTTACAATAGTTCAAAGTGCAACTTAATACCGCACGAATTGTCATCGAAAAATTTATGGACTGTCTCTGTGTTTCGCTTTGTACTAGGCAAATTTAAGAAGATTTTCTGCATCGCCTGATCACGACAGATGAAAATGAAATTTTGCACAATAGTGCAACGAGGACATAACATCGGTGAAAATCCAGACAACGTTCTTTAGAAACTTGCAAGAAGAATTTAACGGTGAGGAAAGGAATGTTGTGTGTGGTGAAACATGCGTAGAATAATTTATTATGATTTAGTCTGCGGATTTGTATGCATTTGTAGGAAATTTAAAGGTACAAAATTGCACACAATGCAATAAGAAAAAATATACAAAATACCTAAATTATAGGGCTTTTTATAACACCTGGTAGGTGAAATAATTTTTTACCAAAGTTCTACTTTCTTTGCTATATTCTTAAAAATATAAATTTGCATAAAAACCCGCAGTCTAATTATGATGCTTAATCGAAATATAACCAA